ACTCGAATCACCGAGAATCAAACTTGATCACCGTCCATCGTAACGATAAATTCCGAATGCAACGGAGGATTTTTACACGAGCCCTCGTACTCTCACGGTAACAGCTAAGGTAAATAAGTTTTACAGAGCAATATATTTAGCAATCGATACCGGGTACCCACCAGCGACAGTATTTTCATTTTACACGACCGTGGCGCGTCGTAAAAGGGTAAACTTTCACAGGGTGACGGTTCCAGCAAATGAATTTGAGAAACGTGACCCCCTCCCCGCCACACCCCTTGCCTAGCGCGCTTCTTCGCTCGACACTTTTTACGCCAGCGGCGATATTGCGAACGGAAGCCCCCGCTATCGGTTTTTATTCGAAAATTTCCGGAAACTTTCGTCCCGCTGTTTGCGCGAACGTGCGCTATCTCGGGACGCCACGTGCACATTTTACAACCCCCGTACACGCGGCGAAAAAAGCGAAACATCGAGTTCCTAACGCCCGTGTACCTGGCATGGGCCAATAAAATACCTCGAGGGCATCTTTTTTACGACCCTCCCCGGGGCGACATGTGCGACGACCGACGAGATTTACCTTCCCTTCTTCCCTGCCCGTTGTGTCCGTCCTCGTGGCCGCGTTTTTTTTTAAGGGTACACCGCTAAATCGCGATATTGAATACGTTGACGTAGACGATACCGCCAATGATGACGGGTGACTGGCTTTTTATGGACGCGTTACGAGGGCCACCAGCGATTTTCACTTTGAATTCTAGGGAGATTTATTTCTCACTTGTGTATCATATTATATCAAATTCTTCGGTTCACAGTTACTCGTGTTCGTACAGTGATTCGCTATGAAATGAAATGAAACTTGTTTCTCGTGAATTCTTTCCATTTATTTTTCATCGAATGTTATTTATTGCACTCTGTTACATCTGTTTGTGAAGAGCAATATTATGCCAACAATACGCGGTGATGCACACCGCGCCCAACGTTGCTTAACTTCGGTGATCGGACGAGAACCGGTGCTTTCAACGTGGCGTGATCGTTGGCAAATTTTGCTTTTAATTTATTCGAACGCAAACAATGGTAACAAATGGTACAAGTTTCGAAAATTCAATTCATAAGAAACAAGCCTTTTTTTCATTTATAGCGAATTACCATTATAATGTACGAATACGAGTTTTTCCACGCAAAGGGGAAACAAAATCGCGACATTTTTGGATTACAGTTAACGAATAATATTAAATATGCAGCTTATATATTTTGTTTTTTTTAACTCTTAAAGCAACGGACTGCACGCGTAAATTTCGATTTAAAAAAATATCGGGCAGACGAATTGATTTTGAAGCCTGCTAGCATATTTATAAACGCACACCACTACGTACGCTACCATCCACCCTCCTACGAAAACTGTTTGTATTCCTGTTGAAGGACTCTATGGACCAGGCCATTCGAAAAATTGAACCTACCTACAAACGGAGAATTATAACACGGTCGAGCAATCTACGCGTTACTGACGATGCAATTTTTAAAATTGATAAATAAATTTAGTATCATTAAAATTTATGAACAAAATTCACAAGTCCAACCTTAGAGGTCTGTCCGTGCAAAAATAAAAGCCTAATACCAAATTGACGATCTACGAATAAAAAAATTTTGATTCTACATTTTTCGTTTGAAAATTCCTAGAATAAAAAAAAGAGGCCACTCGAACGATTACAAAGGTTATGAAATTAACAATCAACGACCCTCTGTGAAATGGAATCCGCCATCGATTACATGCCAGACGCATGGCTGCATTTTCTCCGGAAGACGATTCGCGCAAAAATCGGCGAACTAATTAAGAGGTGAGTAATAACGATCGCGGGTGCCTCGTCGATTGCACACGCTGGCTTTGTCAGTCCGGAACACAACCGTCGCTCGTCGAGAATAAAGGGGAGCGAAAACGCGAATGATAATTAACCGCTTCGCAAATAGGCTCGGCTTTGGTGCATTCCATAAGCCAAAAACCTGGATACGGACTTCGATGGTTCAAAGTAAAGCAAACACCGCTATACAGCCGCGGTAAGGGATGCTGCGTGTACCGTGCGTAATGAACGTTCGCAGACAGGCTGCATACGTCGATTATGAAATCACTAATCATCCTCGTCGACGATCGCAATTTTCCCATTCGTGTTAAATATTAGGTCCAAGTTCTAGCCACTTTTTATATAAAATAAAATTTCATTGAAAAATTTTAATGGGAGATTCTAGAGGCTCCAAAATAAAACAAAAATCAAGAGTATCAATTTGTTGATTGAGGCTTCGTTAAAAAGTTATTATCGTTTAAATTTCCACCTGTACTGTAATTTTTATCTAGAAAGTGGGTAGGAATTCGGGGGTACGTCTATTCACCAAAAATTATTGTAATTGACCCCCGCAACCGAAAATAATTTTTCCAGAACGGTTTGAAATTTATTAATTTTGTCGAAAAATTTCTCAGCTTCTCGAATTTTTTTCTAGAAAATGGGTAGGATTTCGAGGGTATACCTATTGACTAAACATGGTTGTAATTGACCCCTGCAATCGAAAATAATTTTTCCAAAACGATTTGAAAAAATTTTTTTTCGCCGAAAAATTTCAGGGAAACATGTCAATGTATGGTCAGACATATTCGGTAAAGAATTTTTTTCTCGAAAGTGCTCAGGATTTCGATGGTATGTCTATTGACCAAAAATGATTGTAATTGACTCCCGCAACCAAAAATAATTTTTTCAGAATGATTTGAAATTTTTGATTTTCGTCTTATTTTGGCCTCTAGAATCTCCCATTAAAATTTTTTCCAGGGGTAACCGAACACCCTGTATATTGATGTTAATAACTTCTTTCCATCTAATACTCCATGTCTATATCTATAACTTTTTATTATTTTCTTTTGTAATATCGAAAACTCTAAAGAGGAACCTATCAGGATCCATAAGAAAAAATCGAGTTATTATTAAACGAGCATTCCCACGCTCGACTTTATTAACACGTCGTGTGAATTTAACCCCAAACGTTCTAAACTGTAATTTTTTTCTTTTTTGTGTGCTTCACCGTTCCCGATGGTCTAGTAAATTAATAAATAAGCACGTCAGTGAGATGAAATAGAAGCCTCCAGCCGAGACTCGTTAAAGAGTTAGACGAGTGCTTGCGTACCGCATGAATTTTCAAATTCGATTCTCCCGGAAACGAAGCTTCATACAAAAAATCGTTATTCAATATTGGTCTATTTTTACACGTGTACCATACCCCGCTAGATGGAACCACCCTCCCCGTTCCACCTTGTACACACAGACGTCAGTGCAAATATATCATGCCTTGAGTTTAATGCCAAACCATACAATTCTGACTTACTATTATTCACACTGAGCCTCTAATAATAATTTCTTTGCTAAACAGAGAGTTTCATAAAACGTCATCCTGTAATACTCAAAAAACCACATGTATTTTTGTATCTTAATTCCCTTTGAAAGGGAATTTTTATATTCAATTAGAATTAGAATATCTGACATAATTTCTACCAGTTCTAAATCTGGAAACATCCAGTGGATTATTGGATTTTACCTGCTATGTTAGTTCGTTAGTATACCCTCGTATCGTGAAACACACACACACACACACACACACAGAATATTTAAATAAAATTTTATACAAATATATCTTTCAAGGTACAGCATATTGAAACCCTGCAAAAAAATGAAGGACGATACTTTTTTGGTTTACCTCGCTAGATGGTAAATCCAAGTCCAGTCAAACGATCCTAGGAAAAAGTGCAACGCGCGATATCGTTCGTCGTCGCTGCTCGAAAACGAAATTTTTCGCAACGACGGGACCGATCGTCCAGCCGACTGGCGAGGCACAATTTCGCGTATTTGCAGATTCCTCCGGGCGAAAGCGAAACAAACGTATCCCCCCGTGTTTAATCATCTGCTCCGTTGTCTCCCTCTCTTCGACGCCGGCCGTAACGCCGACGTCCATCGAGTTACCGGCTTAATCGTTACAACTCACGGGGGATCGAAAAAAGTAGATTAGGCTACTTTCGCAGCCAGATTTCGCGACCATTCTCTGGGGCTAACGCGACGTTCGTGAATGATTCGTGATACAATGTGCACCCTTCGTGCTCTTGTGCTCTGAAGGGAGCTCCCGGAAACGATCGATGGTCGTAAAAATTTCAACGAAACAGAAATTGATTAACACCCCTCGAGGGAGGGCTGCGGAACTGTCGGACGTCGACGTTCCGTGAAACTTTGGGCAAATGTTCGTTATTATAATTTCGAAACTACTATTTTCTGATTTCAAAGTTCCATTACGAATGGTAAACATAATGGAATTTTATATCAATTAATCACTCGTCTATGCTCCTATATAATTCCTTGTAATTTGGAAAACGAATAGCTTCCGTTGTTCTTCGAGTTCTCATCCTTTTATTTTTCTCGCGATGCACATCTATTAGCCTTAACTGAACAATATTACATGGATAGAACACCTACCTGGTGAAGTCACAATCTCATCTATGGTATTACTGTGTCCAAGGGATAAGCACTGTCTTCCTTCTTTCGTGATTGGAAGGCGCGGGATGGTATCCTATCTCGCGTGTATACTGGATCAACGTCTATCCACGAAGTAATTGAAATTGCATTACAGAACGAGGGCGTGTATCTCGCTTAATTCAAATGTATCGTTTAAGGGAGGCACAATATGTCCAAACTAGAAATAAACGAAAAATAAAATCGATGTAAGAAAGAATAAAAATTCTCCATAAAATTCTGTCCGAAAGTTACATATCGCGTGTACCTGCCACGTGAAACAGTTTTGAAAAATAATAAACGTTACGTCTTTCCAGTACATTCCCGTAATTCCAGAATTCATAAATTGCACCTGAAATAGTGGCAGAGGGTGGCGTATGAATGAATAATCGTACACGGGGGATGCACAAAAAACGTTAATATAATAACAATAATATATATAACGTATATGCATGTATACATGGTTCTTATTACAACAATTTCATCATTTCATTTTTCCCTATACTACCCACAAAGAGTCACCGGAAGCGGCAGTCGAATCCGTCTCGTTCCACTGACGAAAAATACGCTCGCGAAAGAACTTCCATCGCGGAACGAGCTGGCTTCGTTACATTTACCTCAACTTCCGGTACACTCACCAATATAATATGTATACTTATAGTATATTAACATCATCTTTTCTGGACTCGCCTGTATGCTCATCGCTTATCTAACGCTGTTACAAAAGAAATTGCCCTAAACCTTTTATTATTATTTTTGTTTTTTTTTGTTTTTTTTACTATTTTCGTAATTTCCTTCCGAAGCTATGTAATTTACATCGGGGGATCACCAAAACGAGCAAAGGAATTGCCCATCCCGTGCAAGGAAAATTACAAGAGCAATTACTTACGCCCAAAAGGGCTAAAAATCGTCTTCCGGATAAAAATAGAAACCTCGACAAATTTCATGTCTCGATGGATCTATTCCCGTGACGACAATACAGCCATGTAAACGCGTCTCTTTCGTGAAAGATCGATAATCAACATGCTGGCAGTGAAGCAGGCCGCACGACAGTTTCCAAAGTCTCTTCGCAATATACACTTTTAACTTTACTTAAGGTTACGTTTATGATAGCATTCTCAGCCGTATCACGCTTCTTGCACACATACATATTCTAGTTATATTATTCGTCTTGTATGTATATTGATGCACGTGCTTTCGTATATGCGTAAGAAAGACGTTTAATAATGATAACATTTAAACGAAACTCTCCGCACAGGCGATACTTTTACCCGTTGCGTTGTTACATGACGTTAAAAGAAAAATTAGGCTACGATGAACCAAACATTAGTGTTGCATATATGTATACGTATGACGTGGCAGTGTTAATCAATGAGAAACAATGAAAAAGTGTTAATAATATCGGTAATAATAAACGCAGAGGTCCGGAAAGAAATGTTCATTCCCTGGAATGGTTTATTTTCTCAGGCGCGTTCCGATTGGCTCTTTTGGAGATCCCAGCCCTACCTGTACGCTCTCTGAGTACACGTGTCGGTGTCTAACAATACATGTCAAAGTGGAAGAACGGTAATACGTGTGTTCAAGGAGTTACGAATTAATATTTACAATCGCGCGTCTCGCGACGCCTGGGGATTACCGTGGAATTAATTGTCGCTCGAGTTTCCCATTGCCGGAGCGTCTATTTGATCTAACTGCTTAAGGGGGTTGATCGATGTTTCACGACTATCGTACTTCGCCGATGGGAGCCCTTTCGATCCCATTTTTCATCATTTTCTCGTCGAACTGTTCGCCGCGACTACTCGACCTTTCGCGTTCGCATTCAACGGAATCAAAAACGCATACAATTGCACCACGAGAAGCTGCAGAGAATGTCCCTTCAGATTTAAAGCTATTTTCGTAGAACGATAGACAACAGATCCCTAAACATGACAATATTGTTAAAATTTGATATAGGACGGAGACCCAGTGTTTAGAGTTTCACGAAACTCTGGAGACAAGGCGAGGAGAAGGATAAAGACCATATTATAATATCGTGAAACTCGAAGAGGAAGATTACAAGAAGAACAAGTTTATGAGAAATGGATGTCAAGATGAATATGGAATACGAAGAAGGGAGTAAGCAAAATTTCAAATTGCTTCCCAAGGACGGATCTAAGATTTTTTAGGGCTACCAGAATGACAACGAAATTAATGGAGATGGAATAGGAGGAAGATACCTTATGCCCCTATGATTTATTAAGGTAATGCTACCTAATACGGTTCGTGTTCTTATTATGACGACACGTAATATCTTGCGAGACGAGTACTAAAATTTATCGTTCATGAACTAAATCAAGAGTGTTATAGATAATCACATGACATTCATTTTATAACAAATAACAATAACACGTACAGACATCTTTTTCTCATGTTAAATCAAATAATTTAAATGTCAATTGTCTTTCAATCCATTATTACACCTAATATTATTTACCTAGCAAAACGGATCTGTGATCTACCATTCCGTAAAAATACAATCGAGTATTAAATTCGTACATGGACTGAGTTTTGATAACAGACGAAGTACTCACCAACACTGAAATATTTCCTCGAACTTCTGATCGCCAAATCTGAATCCCATCCATTCCCTCCAGCTCTTCGGTACAGTGTTACCGGAAAATACGGAAGTACGAATAAAAACGAACCGTGTCGTTGGCTTGGAACCGGACGGAGAGTTAGCGAAACTCGCGGAACTCGAAACGAGCCTATCCTCGATAGGCGGATAACGTTATCTGAGCCACACGACGAGCAAGGAAAGATCCAGGCTTCCCCCACTCTCGCCTAGGTTTACTTTTCACGGTCGAACGAGTCGACGGTCGCCTAGGAAAATATCTCGCGACACGTAAACACGAAGAAAGGTGACAAGTGAAATTCAACGAGCGTTAACCCGCGAACGAGAATGTAAAACAGCTTTACGACGTCACGAATGAAAGTTTCGACGCGACACGGTGTCGTCAAAGAAGAAACGACGTCGGGGATTAACTTGCACGGAAATAAACGGCCGTACGAGGGTGTATCGATGGATAAAAATAACGAATAGTCGCGTGTTGATCGTTCGTAGACCGACCGTCGACGGGGTGGGAAATAAAACCGAGAGGAATAGATGCGAACGATCGAATGATCTCTTCGAACAGTCGCAGTTGTGGAGAATAAAAATTATTATTTGATACAGATACAGAAAATATCATTCCTCGGCGAATGACGTGGCTAACGTGTTAATAAATTTTATAACTTAAAAAGTAAACAGGAAAGAAAACGTCTGTAATAGGCGTAGGAAAAAACAGAAGGAATTAGCTAAAAGTCTGCGAAACAAAGTAATCCTGGGCGCGTTGTGCAAAGGAAATTACAGGGGAAACTATCGTGGAAGATAACATACGTTCTGCTAATGTTATTGACCTTAAGATTGCTTCGAAGTAACGAAAATTAACTACAAATGAAGCGAAATAATTCCCAAGATAAAACAAAGTAGAACCGTTCGAGAGCAGAAAATAATAATAATTTTGGAAAGAAACGATCGACAAAAATAAAGTACAGAGGAAGTGTTTTACGAATGTCTTACCTGGACGAAGCAGACAAGTTTATGGTTCTTCGGTTCGAGGACTATACTTCAATCCTCTATGACTAAGAAATGTGACAAAAGTCGGATATAATCGCGAGACGTATCGTATAGCCATTGATCGCAAAATGGTCCCTAAAAGTTCGCGTTACGTCATCTAAAAGGTTCTTTCGCGGATGCATCAGAATTCTCGGAATGATGCAGACTTCGATCGCGCCGAGTACTCGAATCTGTGTGTAGGCTCTTTGGGCAGAATAGTCATAGAGGATTAAAGTCAGATGTGTTCGTTGGACGGACACCCGCGCCGTGTGAAGAAGATCCCTGAAGCACTCGCTTCAGAAGCTTTTGCATGAAAGGAACTGTTGTCTCTCGAACTGAGAGACACCCTCTTTGTCGGTACATCTAACATCACACGAGGAAAGTAATCTAGATGAAGAGCTTATCTCATGACAACGCCGGCGCTGAGCGATCGTTCGTCTTCGTTTTGCGCAGCTTTACTGTTGCGAATATGTTTGTCCTAGAAGAACGTAACGGTGAGGGGAATTTAATACACCGAACGGAACTGGAATTTCGATTAATTAACCAACTGCATCGTTTCGAAATATTCTGCAGTTACAGTGTAACAATTCAAGCGTTTCAAGAGAATAAATAAATTTATTTTCTGAATAAATTTTCTCTTCTTCTTATTAAAAATTAAGAAGATGATTCAGTAATCGGACAGCATCTTGAATTATTACAAAACAACTTCTACTAAGTCTTCGTAACGACTTTAAATTAGAGCTGAGACTAGTCATTGAAAATATAAGTTAAATACTATTTGAATATTTTGTACACTGATCAAATACAATTCGAATAATCTGTTCGAACAGTCCCAGCCCTACTTTAAACTGACGCTTCTTTTCTAAACGTGGAGTAGAAAAATTACTCTATTACTTTGTACAGCACTACGCAAAACTCGCAAAAGAAACCAGTGGAATGTGTACGAAACGAACGTCTACGAACCTGCTATTATAAACTTGCATCACACACACCGTAATAAAACGTGAACATGAAAGTGTAACGGTTACAAATAAAACAAGTAAATTGCTCTGTGTACCTTACGAAAACAAAATATTCGCGATCGCTGAAATTAATTCTCGAGCTGCGTAGAAGTAAACAAAACAATTAAATACGTGTGAAACGATTTAACGATGTAGCGTTGTGGACAAAAAAAAAAAATATGAACAAAAATACGGGAACCGCGATTTAATTATAACCAAAAATGTATTCTCAAATATCAAACGCGTACCGATAAACTGCGTATTGTATATAAAATACCGTGGGAACGGGGAATTGAACTTTCCACGACACCTACGTGCAACATTTAAATTCAAACAAACAACACCGGAAACCAATTTACACGATTAAGAAGTGAATGTTTGCAGATTAAATCTCGTATTTGGATCGTTAACGGAAAAACAGGTTTCGCACGGTCGTTCTTGAACGACGTGACTGCATGTGATTATTTACGCATTCGTTGGCGATTGGCAGACAGAATTCGTAGGAAATTACACGTTAATTTAAATCGTTGGTGCGCGAAATTTGTTTAATTCCGCATCGGTTCGTTATTCCTTCGAAAGACTTTATTTTTAAACACGTAAATTTCTCCGATCCAACGCGCGGAGAAACGTCGAACAGTTTTGATACGTAATCGTGCAAAATGGTTGCCAATAAAATCTGTCAACAGACGGGAACAAATATATCAAGAGAAACAACTACGACATTCTATCAAGAATTATTGTACGTGCCACTTTATGGGAGCAATAGAGTGCCAACGAATTACAACAGTATCCTGTGACGACAGATCCAACAAGAGTTATGATTGAATCACCATCCATAACGTTGTTTTCTCTGTCGCGATACAAACCGCTCGTCGACTCGCGTTTCGATTCACTCCATGCGCTCGCTTAACGTCAACACGTCGATTTGATTCCGAGCTAGCGTCGACGAAAGCGCAAACGTTAACTATGCAAAGTAAGACAGGCGTGTGGACACTCCAAAGAAAGCAATGGGAAGAGCTACGGTGAAAGACTGGCGGACGGGTCGTTCGATGATACGAATCGCAATGGGTGGGCAATGGCGATCAAATTGGAATGTAAAAACGAACAAAATCATGAGGACGAAATCATAAAACGGCACGCGTTTCGATTGTCTCAGCTTCGGTTTGACCAGCTCTTTGATTCTGTTCGATAAAAAAAAAAAACAAAAAGAGCCCCAAAACAGCGACACTGGAATGGACGAAAAACGGAAAATACAAGATAGTTTTTAATAGATTTACTGCTGTTTCTTCTTCTTCTTCTTGTTCACCGACGCATCCACTCCCCAGAGATCGTACCAAGGTCCGCACGTGTTCTTGTCCCTTTCGCGATCAGAGTCCCTTCGAAGCTTGGTCCTGGGGAGCAGAGTTTTCTCAGACACCGACTGGTCCTTGACCACGATGCAGCTGTACGTGGACTCCTCGTCGGACGCCTCCGTCTCGCTGAAGTTCTGTGTCAAGCCGTCCTCGTCGTCCGTGTACTTTTTCCTCCTCTCGTGTCTCTTGGCCTCGTTGTTCTCCTTCAGCTCGGCCACGATGAGGTTCCGTTTGGCCTCCAAGCTACGCTTTCGCTCCTTCTCGATGATGGCTTTCCGCGAAACGTTCCCCATAAAATAGGACCTCTCCTCCTGGTGCATCCTATACTCCGACCTCTCGACAGCCTTGGGCCTCTCAGCCGGAGTGGGGAAGTCCTCGAAATAATCAGACTTATCCGGCACGTGGATCCTCTCCGCGGGCTTGGGTTCGTCCTGGCGGGTCTCGTTGGTGATGGTCACGTCGCTGGTCCTCGTCTCGAAACTCTGTCGAGACGTGGGACTGCCCTCTGGACTCTGTTTCTTGATCTCCTCCGTACTCGTGTTCCCATCCTTCACTTCCTTCTTTATCATCTTCGGTATATCGACCAAAGATCTGTGCTGCCAGAGCGCCATGCCCTCCAACACGTCGGAGTCTCTCCTAAACCTCCAAAAAGATTTCGTCCTCTTCACCAGCTTGGGACTCTTCGAATCAACATCGAAAGCTCGGCCAGTTTGTATCAAGTGTCCAACCGCGGTGGTCTGCCTAGGCAGCAACGGTTTCCTGTTCTCATCCTTCAGCGTGTTATTGTTCGTGTCGTTCTTCTCCAGACTTTGGGGCCCGTTCCTCTGGAACTTCTGTAGATTTCCCTGGTCGACGTTCTGGTAACCATGCCTCTCGATCACCTTCGTTCTCTCCAGCTTCGTCTCGAAGTTCGACTCGTAACCGCGCTCCTTGTCCACGGACACCTCGCGAACGAACCTGGTCTCTCCATAGATCGCCTCCTCCTTGTCGGAGTACCTACGCTCCCTGTACGAGTTTCTGGGCTCCGTGGGTCTCTCAGGGGCTTCCTCCGACGGCGGTCTCGGTCGCTCGAACCGACGACTCGACGCTCGTTCGATGTTCCTGTTCCTGTCCGGGTTCTTCTCGAACGTTCTCTCTCTCTCATAAGTGGAGGTCTTCTGCGACGTGGGTGGCGATTTCTCGAAGTAACGATCCCTCTCGCGCTCGAACCTCTGCGGTCCCCGGTTCCTCTCGCAATCGTTGTATCTCTCGTACGGCGGGGGCGGTTGTTTCTCCTCCCTGCGCTCGAGGCTCCTGTACTCGTTCCTGCGCTCGATGAATTTCGGCGGGCTGTGCTCCCTGGCGTATTTCTGGGCGGTTTGCTCCAACTTCTGCGCGATGTGCTCCACTTTCCTGCCAGTTTCCGGAATGGTGATGGTGCTCTCGTCGTCCGTGCCCGACGACGAGGCGGACGAGGTCTTCTCGTTCTCGTATTTCGGCTCCTCCTGCTCCACCGGACGATAACCGCGCCTGGAATTGCGCTCCTGTCCGTCGGATCTATCACCGTAATACTTCTTTCCCTCGTACTTCTGGTAATCCATCCTTGCGCTGTAGGTGTCCTCCTCCTCGTCCTCCAGCTCGATCTCGTCCTCCTCGGTCTCCACGTGCTCCTTCGCCCTCTTCGCCTCGCGACGATCCTGCTCAGCCTGCTCGTTGTTCCTCCTGGACGAGTTCCTCGACTGCTCCTCGTTGTTCATACCCTTGCTCTTGCGATTCGAATTCCCACGGCTTCGATTATCGTACTCGTTCTTCTGCGGCTTCTCCGGCGGTTTCTTCACGGACTTTCGCGTAGGTCCGTTCTCCATGGTACCGCGGTCCGAGTAGTCCCTGTCGTTCTTCCGTTCGGAATAATCCCTCTCGTTCTTGCGATCCTGACTGTCGTAATGGCGATTCGGCGCGTACCTGGTCTCGCCGTTCTCGTTGCTCTGGTTCGCGTTCGATTCCGCCCACAGGTCCATCGCGGTTCTGTAAAGGTGCCAGCTCTTCTCGTCCCTGGGTATCGTCTTCCAGGAGTCGTTCTCCCAGTCCTTGGCGGCGGATTTCTCGTCCTTCTGTTGCTGGTGCTGCTGCTGCTTCGCTGCCTCGGCTATTCTATCGGCGCGTGGCTTTCTTCGGCGTTGTCTGTGTTTTCGTTCGGGCTCGGGATGAGTAAAAAAGAGCGAAAGAGAGAGAAAGAGAGAGAAAGAGAGAGAGAGAGAGAAAGAAAGAAAGAGAGAGAGATAATAGTAAAAGAAGATAGTGCAGAGCACGAAGAGAAAACCAAGAGCCAAGTACTTGGACAGGGATTAGTTATGCGGCTGTCGAGCTTTGTGGTCGCGGACTTTGCGAAATGCAGGGATGGGGAATATGGCTGCTGGCATCGCAGGAGCCCGGAGAGAGGTGAATGAGCCACCACCACGCCGTATTTTATTTCCATCGACCGCGATAACGCATGCGGAATCTACAAATCAGGAGAGAAAACAACATCGTGACTCCGGATACAAGCCTACTGATCGGGTATCGCTGGATGTTGGCCGTGACCGCGTCGTTATGGAGGAGGGAAGAAATAAAATTAGACGTTTACTTTATTTGTCAGTGATTCTTTCAACTGGGTATGCCAGGGACCCCGATATTCGTACGTCGCTTCGAGTACTTTGCTAATCTAAGCAAGCAGTTCTTTCCAAAGTCGTGGAATTAGATACAGAGGATTGTCCAACTTGAAACCAACGCCTCGAATATCCCCGATAGTCTTAAAATACGAGAAACAATGACACGTCTTGCAAAGCAACAGAGATATCGGAGGCGTTCGAGCCAAGTAAGACACTCTGTATACATTGTTCTAAACGCCCAGTTAATGTAATTTGGCATCATCGAACTGATATAACTTCTAAATTATACGCATGCAAATAATGTACAGTTCGTCGAGAATTCCGTGCAAATGAAGAATTAAGATAGAACTATTTGATGAGAGGGCCGTTAGATTTAGAAGATAATAGGTTCTACGTTGTAATTTTAGAGGGGTACCGAGAACCAGGGGGTAGCGAAATTACTGAGAGCGGGAATAAAATACAAAGCTCCGAGGTCACGATTCAGTCAGGCACAAGCGTTTCTACAGGTTTTGGCAACGGTCATCGACTGCCTCCGTCGAAATTCAATTAGAGAGTTTCCAAAGTACCTTCGATGAAATTTCATGGAGATCGCTTACCTCATGGCCTCGTCGTCGCTGTAGTCGATATCAGGCTGAGCCGGGGGCTCGTTTGAGAAACCACTGTCGTTGCTGCTGTGAAGGGACGTCACAACTTGAGGTGGCGGAACTGGCGGAGCAGGTGGCTGTATCCTGCGGCCACCGGCCAAAACGGTCGGCAGCGTGCCCGATGGACGGATCTAAGAAACATATAGAGATTTATCGCGTTTACAATTTACCTTTTTATTTTACGAGCACAGAATTGATTAAGCTTCCTCTAATTTTCCATTTTAGTCCGTAATCGTAAAGTAGAAGTAACCAAGAAATTTCTTTTTGAAACAATCCGCAAGGGATAGGTGCCCAAATTTTTTGACAAAATTAAAAAAATTCAAATCGTCCTAAAAAAATCATTTCCAGTTACAGGGGTCCATTACAATCAGTTTTGGCCAATAGACATACCACTGAAACCCTACCCACTTTCGAGAAAAAAATTCGAGAAGTGTGAAATTTTTCGCAGGAAAAAAAAGATTTCAAATCGTTCTAAAAAAATTATTTTCAATCACAGTGGTCCATTACAATCATTTTTGGTCAATAGATATACTACTGAAATCCTACCCACTTTAGAGAAAAAAATTCGAGAAGGTGTGAAATTTTTTGGCGAAAAAAAAATTTCAAATCGTCCTAAAAAAATTATTTTCGATTGCAGAGGTTAATAACAATCATTTTTTGTGAATAGACATACCCCCGAAATCCTACGCAGTTTTGAGAAAAAAATTCATTACCGAAAATTATATGTCTGACCATACCGTTGATCTGTTTCACTGAAATTTCAGGCGTATCTTTAAAACGTCATAACTTCTGAACGGATTGGACGATTTTAATTTTTCAACAGGCAATCAACGCGTATTTTAACGGAGAATATGTAGAAATTCTAAGAATATTGTAAAAATTGTTCCTTGACCCCATAAAGTTAGAAAAACCCCATAAACGTGGTCGAAATTTCAAACGTCCGTAACTCCTACAATAGTGAATATATTTCAATGAAATTTAGCATGAAAGTAAAGCTAATGGATACCTACAAAAAAGTACTAACCAACTTTTTCGTAGATCGTCAAACAAATTTATTAAAAATCAAAAATATATTTTTAAGAAAAATTTTTTCAAATCGTTCTGGAAAAATTATTTTCTGTTGCATGGGTAAATTACAATCATTTTTCGTGAATAGACATACTCCCAAAATCCTACGCAGTTTCGAGAAAAAAATTAATTACCGAAAATATAATGTGAGGACAGGAATGTTTTCATCACTCCATATGAAGGTATAGTTCAATTATAGTGTCCAATTGTACAGTAAGGTGGATAATCGCAATTTTACTGTAATTGAACAAACTTTCACGTGATATGTAACTATACCCACCGGTTTAGATTGACGCGCAGTGGGTGTTGCCAGATTGTGAGAACTGTTACTGTTCGGTACATTAGTAGGTGTACCGCTGTTGTTGTTGACACTGTTGTTCCCTACTCCGTGGAAACCACTCGACACTTCGTCCATGCTGCTAGGTGTCACTGGTGGCCGAGAGGGTGGCGGCTTGCAGGGTGGAACTGCCTGCGGCTCCGTAGCACGACCATTATTTGTTCCGTGACTCGGCGATCTTTGCGTATTATCGTACCATTAACTTCAGTGATAAGGTAAGCCGTACTGACTGCGTCTTGATCGTTGAAAACTCTCAAGGGAGCAACGGTTATTTGTCAAAACAATTATAGCAACATACGATATAATTATTTTCTTCATAGAGAAATTCCTGTTATCGTAAAGGTTACATCGAATTTTAAAGCAGTCATTTGCTATTTGCACGAATTGAAGAGAGGTATCTTTTTCGTAATATGAAGACCAATATTCACTAAATATATTACAACTTCAAAAAGAGAAATCAAGTTCGAGAAATCAAAGGCCAAGAAAAAAATCTCCATTGACAAATTTCCAACGTCAGACGTAACTTCTTACACTAAATTCTATTTGAGAAAACTATATTCTCCGCTCGAGGAATAAATTTTTCATTAATTCGGCTATTAGAAACGCTCTCGCGGAGCTATAATCTCTTATCGGATGACCGTTCGAATGATTAAGAACCCCATTAAAATTTTTATGCGATCGCGATCCGGTGCAGCCATTCGACACGGTGAATCACGGTTTAAGAGGCTTTGATATAAAATTTCTATCGTCGCGCTCTAAATCGACGATCGGAATAATAGGAGTTAGAAGTGCAGATGCAACAATAACACCAAGACGACTACGTTTAATGGGAACGGCTGCATCGACGATGGCCATTGCCCGTTACCGTTCTAGATTACCGTAATTGCATTCGACCCGTGGAATTGTTAGCAACGAATACCGTAACAAGATCTGTTGTGATATTGTTCGGGTCCACCGAGAGACCCAGACTTTCCCGACTCTGTTAACTTACCCAAGAGTATCGTCGAGAATAATTTCTGTATACGCCAGCGGGAACCAACCGGTGCTCTGTGTGCGGAGATTCTCCCCAAACTGCCAGCCCTTTTGGCGATCTCCTAATAAGGCAGTTTCGTGAAACAGAAATAACGTTTACGGTGCTGGTCCGCTGGATAGAAAGGGCACGGTGACTAATAAGGAGCTATATTTTCGGGGCATTTTATGGATTGAAATATTACCGCGGGACTGATTCGGGTTTACTGTGGTCACGGTTGATTTATAGCGGACATTATTCCTTGTTAAAAGGATGACTTAATAGGGGAGAGTATACGTTAGCTGGCTGAGAGGAACGAAATTGAGATATTTTATGTACCCGATAAAATCTACGTATAGAATAAAATAAATTTTCTATCCGCGTCGTAATATCTTTCGTTCGGAAGCTACCACTGTTAAAAGCGAGAAAATTTCACGGTGTAACCAATTTTATCTAGCCAAATATCTATTTTCGTACGTATCAAACAAATCAAGTGGAAGATATCGCGTGACCAGGTTGTTAAAATTGATACGAACGCCAACCGTGGTTATCCAAAACATTAATCCGACATGAAAATGCCACGTGTTCTGGCCAGACGGGTACGGTTTGTTTCACGAGACGGACGCCAGTCCGGGCGTCCAGCACTCACCCATCAGCGCGATGTGATCGCCCTCCAGGAAACTCAGCTGATTTTCCCCGGAGCTCAAATAGGCAAAGAGAGCCCTCGCGAGGGATGTATCCCCCCAACTCACCCCTGTACCACTGCCACCCCCGCCCCCGCTGCCGCTGCTGCGTGATACTGGAGGCGCCATGGACCTCGGCCTTGGTGGGGTTTCTGGAACCTCTGCGTAAACCAACAGAGATTCGTTCAATTCAGCCTATCTCTATCGTAACATGCTGAATATTAAAATCAACGCTTGCTTGACAAAAAGAAATTTCAATCTCAGGATTTTGGACATGTACAACTTCACTTCATACAGAAATTTGTACTTTTGGAGGAATTAATTTGGGTATACAAGGACATAATTTAAAAGAAATGAAAAAAATTTCAAATCGTTTTGAAAAAAATATTATTGGTTGTGGGGGTCAATTGCAATCATTTTTCGTGAATAGACATACCCCCGAAATCCTACGCGGTTTCGAGAAAAAAATTCCTTACTGAAAATATAAAGTCTGACCAGGAATGGAATATTCTACTGAAATTTCATGCGTATGTTCAAAACATCATAACTCCTGAACGGAGTGGACGATTTTAATGTCTCAAAAGGCAAACAACGCGTATTTTAGTCAAGAATATGTACAAATTCTAAGAATATTGAAAAAGTTGTTTATTAACCCCGTGAAGTTAGAAAAACTCCATAAAAATGGTCCAATTTTCGATTAATTCAGCCTATTTCTATCGTAACATGCTGAGTGTTAAAATCGATGACTGCTTGCCAAAAACAACTTCAGTTAAAACAGAAATTTATACTTTTGGAGGAATTAACGATAATCAAAGCACTCTATTGATTATGAAATAACAAAAGCTAAAGATAATTGGTATCTACTGTTATTTCCATGTTTGAAGATTTCTTAACGTTTCTGAAATTATTTACAAATTACCACCATGCACCTGATGAGAATAAATTTACGATAAATAAGGACAGGAACCGTGAAGACAAAATTGTAGGCAGACACGATAAATATGACGATGACGATGATTGCGTGGAGAAGATTTCGCTGATTCAGAGCCAAGGTGCAACGACATGTACAAACAGTTTGTTTCACGCAAGCTATTGCGTTTTCCTACCGCGTTGATCCCAGTTCCCGCATTTCCATTTTCCCGACTACACTCGTTCCACGATCTAGCCGCACCTGGCGCAGCTTTTGCAGCTCTCGCACGACCATTTCTGTTTTACCGCACTCTGTTCCGGCCAGAAGAATGGCTTTCGGCCAAAAACCGCGGCATTTCAAACAGCTCGCTTACTAGAATATTTTTACGAAGTATCTGGTTATTTTTCTTATTTCCCTCGATCCATTTTGCTCTCGCGTTATTACCAACGAATTTATACACTTGGCCAGCACGCAAGAGCACCGCTTTAGGGAATCCTCCGCGCCACGAAAACGGAAAGTTTTGTATTATTTAGAAGGCCATTCGGAAAAATAAACCGCATACCGTGGCAGAGTTAGCGTTAATGCAAATGAGCAGGCGAATCTACCGATAGACTTCACGGAAGCTCCAAAAGATTTTTATTTGTTAAATATTTAATTTAACTTCTATTCAAAAGCGTACAAGAGATATAGTTAGAGCTTTGTTCTTGAGTAATTTTTTCCTGATTTTATTTCGAAGTAAAAGAATGTCACGATGCATGTATTATGAATAATATCAATTCAGGAGAGTGTAAACTTTAGCTAGTTAAACACAGTCTAATAATTATGAATTTTCTAGGTTGGTTCTACTAATAATTTCAAAGTCATTTGATAAAAAAGAGAAACTTCAATTTTTCTAAGGGCTTGAAATGCTTCAAACATTAATCAAATTTTTGTGAAGTTAAAATTTTACTTCAATTTCATAAATAAATGTTACAAAAGCAGATGTTTGTGTATGACAGACGAAGTAATGGACCAGAGATGTAAATTTTTTTAATATTGATTCACGACGATCGATTTTCGTTAAACGACTTTTCCCCATTTAATACGAAAATTGCGCATTAGTGTTGTGCAGAGATCAATAAAGGTTTCGGTAAATGCGATTTGTGCCTGCCAGGGTAATGGTAAAATTGTAAAATTCTCGACGGCGCGGAGCGGTCGACAAGTGGAATTCGATATTCGATACAGCGAACTCTCTCGGTACCCTCCAAATGTTTTGCGAGCACTTCTCCGCCCAGTCGTGTTGCATCCGTTTGTTACGTGTTCAACCCCGATGTCGACTTGCCGGGAACGTACTCAACCACTCGGATTGGCTACAATAAAAACGACCCATGGTGTCGCGTTATCGCTTTCTGCGCCGCTGTCGGGAATCTACGAACCCCGGTGTCGCTCACGGGTGCAAAATCGAATAAAAGTTTTGGTTTTTTGACGTCTGAGCTTGTGGCGGAACGTCGCGATCGATTCACGTTTTTCCAAGGGCCAGAGTCGCGGAAATAATTAGCCGAAACGAGGGAAACTCTATCTTGACGGACCGTACACCGACAGAAGAAATATTGGATGAATTCTTTAGTCATAATAAAACGAGACTAACGAAGAGAATAATCGTCTTTAAATAAATTAAAATATTTTGTAAAATTAATTAACGATAATATAAACATAATCCTTTAGTCATAATGTTCAATTTAGAACGATGAATAATTTCGTAATAAATGGCGATATAATCATTATCCCTTCGAGTGAGAATTACGTGTAAATGTACATTCGTTGGAAAATTTAATCTATAAATGAATATTGAAATTTTGTGTAAAATTAAATATGATCAAAAATTCAATGGGCTTACGTTAAAGACGCGGAATGCGTTTCTAGAATTAAATTAGGATGCAGAAAAGTACGTCGACGGATTAATTTCGTTAAAAATTTCAAAGGGACTATCCTAATTATATGCTTCTGTTCGATGGAATTTAATACTGAAATTGAATATCGTTCACAATTCGCCTGATACATAATACATACGACTGTATGCATTTATTTTCTAGAATTAAATGTGAAGCATTATTAATTGATTCGGGTTTATGAATTTCCGCTGGTGCAGGAAAAGAATTCGATAAATATAATGGATCTGGACGGGGAGCATTAATAATTGTATAAAATTTGCAACAATTGAATACAGAAAATTGTTAGGAACAATAAAGTACTTCAATCAGTGGAGGATTCGCTTTTTCTCTTTCTGTATTTAGGTTTTATTGCGGCTCGACGTCATATTTCAGCGCGCAATTCCATTTCTACATTCATAACCCCAATGTTGAAAACTGGTACATGAAATTTCTATCCACCGTGTTCGATTACAATTGAATTTATGCCCTATTCGATACTTCGAATAACAGGAAACAGACACGTAGAAAGAATGGAACAAAACACGTGGAAATAAATTTGTACTTGTATTTCGAATTGTTTGTCCGGTTTTCAAGGAAACAGGTTTTCTTTTTAACTATTTTTAAAGCTTTTCAAATTTAAAGAAATTCTCCTTTTTCATTTCCTCGACAGTAAAACAAACAGAAATTGTGTAGAATATGACGTTTGTATTTTCAATCAACATGTAGGTGTAATCGAGTTGCATTTATATAATTTTCTTTTAATTGATAATGTTCTTTTTGAAGAGCTTAATAGCAAGATAGAAAAATAGTTTCATTAGTATTGTTGTTAGAAAAATTGTGTCCTTCAAATATTTTATGCTAATTTCAGGGTAAATTGCGTTGGATCGAATCTTTATCGTGAACATTCTTCCATATTTTTAATAAGATCTTGTTCAAGATGTAGCGAGCCAACACGGTAAAGACTTTGAAGAATTTTAATACAAAATTCTGTTAGGGAATATGACTTACCCGGATCTAAAGATAACGTCGAAGCGTGGAGGTTGGCCTCCGACCTTGCTCTAGACAGAACAGTTGATAGGTGCGAGGATGGACCTTGATAAGTGGTGCTCGACATGTTTCCGGAAGGCGGTCCAGGTCGAAGCTCCAAGCAAGAGCTATCCATGCTTCTGGTCTTCCTCAGTTGCGAGCTCATCGTAAGCTCCGATCCGCCATTTTCTTCGTCCTCGGGCCAAAATGAAACTTGCTGAACAGAATGACGAAACGAGAAAAATGTTGGTACAAAGATCCATCAGGATAATTAAATACAAATTATTAAACTGTATTCGAAGTTATTGAGAGCATACTTAAGTTGGATAAATTTCCTTCAGCTTACCTTTCGTTTGTAAATTAATTATGAATTCTTTAAATCGATATCCAGACTAGCAAAGCTTCAGGCAAAAGCTAAGTTACGAACGAATCTAAAACTTTTATTCCTTATAAGCGTTCCACTCCCAGCTGCCTACAAAATCTACTCTAAGAAAAGTATACTTGATATTCAATTTGGTTTACTTATTATTTTTCCACATTATGTATTCGCGAATAAAATTTGTCCAACTTAAATACGTTAATTTCTTCGTTTCATTTGATCGTATCTCGTCTCTCGTTGTACATAATCTTGGCACAACAAGGACATGAGATTATTAATCATTCGAGTACGTAGATATTCGTGCACTGAAATAGCGATCTTCCATCATTTTTTAAAAGTTATTACTTCAACACTAATTCGTTGCGTGCGTTGTTAAAAGGTTGACGTATGCCCCAAGCGTCGTATGAATTTTGAAGAAAGCACAGCGCAACAGTGAGATATTCGTGTCATCACTCACCCTAAGTCTGGAGGCGAACATATCTTCCACGGATTGGGGTAAGTATTCCCTGGTAGCAGCTACCTCGCGCCACTTATCAATCGAGGGATGAAGAGCAGCTAACGCGACCTCATGGAAACTCGCATAATGTTTCGCCAAGGAGCATTGTCGCTCGAGAACAAAGCCGTACCTTCTTCGTTCCTGGGTCATCGCCTGGAAAAAGGTGTTAAGGGGCTCGAAAACCTAATCATGCATAGTCGTTAACCCTATTTCCTCAAGTCGTTAACCTCATTTGGTTAATTTATTCAAACCAATACGCGGATCGTCGCCGTTTCGCTCGCTTCAAAGTAAATTACGCGAATTCCCGACTAATTAGCAATTCGTTAAAATATTTCAAAGCATTATCTAATGTGATATAAGTATCGTGAGAGTTACAGGCAAGTCTGGTTATCGATGTAAAAGAAAAAATCCAATTTCTGATAGAGTAAGTTTTCTCCTTTGGCTAACTTCCCTTGTTTTCTTATCTACTTATTTTACCATTTCTGCGCCATGTACATTTAACGTGTCCCACACCAGACACAAGAACAGTCACGTGTGTCTATACGTCACATGCCACATTACACAGCAGACGACCCCTCCCCAAGGAGAAGGCAATTACCGTTACCGATAGCCATACTGCAGTACCTATGTACACGTGCTTTACTTCGACCATCGATATTAATATTAGGATATCATGTACGTTCCTGTGGAAGATTAAAAATTCGATAGAATTCGTTTAATCAATTTCAAAACTTATTTCTCCGTCTCTATAACAATTTTGTACAATCTTCTGTTTTCAATAGAGTACAGAAGCCGACTGAAACTTTAGAGTCGAAACGTTTGAATCGAGAGTGAAAGTGAATTGAAAAACGATTGGAAATAAAGCGTTTATATCGCAATAAACGGGAAGGGTTACGACAGCGACGGATCGTTTGACGATTTTTACGCGTTCTCCGTAACTCGACGCCTTCCGTTCCACTCCAGGCTCAGAGGTCTAGTCATCGTACACTTACGTTCTTCAAGCTCTGCTCGCAAAAGGCGTCCAGCTTTGACTTCTCTTCCTCGAGAATCTGCATGTTCTTCAACTCTTTGTCCATAGCGAGTCCACTCTTGCTGGCGCCCCTTGACTTTTTCCTTTGCTTCTTCATCGTGGCTGCCGCTTTGCTGTACGTTTCGGACCTGGTCTTGTGCTGCTGAAGAAACTTTTTCTGTTCGCTCTGAGGAAAGAGTATTATTGCATTATTCAGGGCCCCGTCGGGTGACTGATATCCACGTCGAGGCGGGAGGGGTTGGTTTCGGGAACGCTTACCTGAACGACCTTGGTGTCTTTCTCCAGGTTCGTCTCGAGGGGAACCAGTAGGTCGACGTAGAACGCCTTCAGCTGAAAGCAAGCAAACGGCCGCGCTGTAGCGAGGTTCAAGAACTCGGAAGATTTTAATGCACGGAAGCACGGGGAGTGAACGCTAAACGAGCTTAGGTAATGAGGGACTTTTAACATTTTCCGTGCGGATGCGAAAGGGCTATCGCTACCTTTGTTCGCAACGCTGCCGACAACTTTACGAGCTTGTTGTCTGACCTGTTTCTAAACTGGATTCAACCCCGGGAAATGCAGTCGTGCTTTCCAGCCGGGGAATCTTTAAATTCTTTAGGTGCTTCAGCAAAGATAGAAATCTTGAAAAAGACTACGCAACAATCATGACAAATAATATAGATTTTGGAAAAATAGTTGACAATGGTTTGTATTTAAGGGATGAAAACAACCCTCGAAGTTGGAGATAGAATATATATTTTCTTAAACATCTATTCAGCCTAGAGAAATGGCGTATCTTTTGTACAATATTATTCTACAAACCACATTTTATTATAATATATAATTATTAATTGAAATATATTACAATTCATACAGAAATTGAATCTGTATCTTTTCCAAAAATATTTCACTCTTCATTCTTCCAATTTTATCAATATCACATATGAATTGCATAGTACATAAACTCACCCCTATTTTTCTAGCGTCAAATTCACTCAAAAAAAGAATTATTCCCATTCTTATGTAACAAATTTGCTCGCCAACGACGAGGGAAAAAATATTATAGAAAACGTAAACTCGTGTTTCTTAATTGGTGGACTCTGCCCATATCGGTTGCATGGTGAATTTATTTGAATCGTCTGACCATTTACGAAGTCGTTTGAACCGAGCCTCGTGCGCGATATTCGCTGTTATCTAATTTTGCCAAAAATTTCGAAAAGAGAAAAGAAAATGGACCGCTCGTAATAACAATCGAATACGTCGCGTTTGACGTTCCTGCGTCGCGGAGGGGTCAATCTGTCCGACTGTACGTTGAAATAAAAATCAGAAAATCCATCCGTCGAGGCTCGTCGGCGGAACGAAATCCGCGTGGCTGGTGTTGGCCGTGGACAAGCGACGGGACATGGGTTGATCGGATCATTTCTTTCGCGGCTTAATGGACATTGATTAGAGGCAGCATTTCGATCAGAAATACGTTTCCGCGAATGGGCAACCTTCTACCGCCGTAGTCGATCGCTGCCAGTGAAAAGCGACTGTGAAAGGGAAGAGAAATACGAGTTGAAGTGGCACTGTTGATGCGTTCGAAAGGGCCCGGTGCATCCTCGATGCATTTTGCACGGTCGAGGATCTCCCTCCAAGAGCACGCATGCTCGCGAATAAAAACTCCCGCTTCGTCTTCGAACGAACGTTCCCAGCTTGTTATTATCGGTTATAATTAGAGCACAGACACGATGGTGGCGAAGGTCTCGCGAGAAACTTTGAAAAGTTACCAAATCGTGACAGTTGTCAGCTGTTTAATAAACTTATTATTAATTATTAATTTCTTAGTACCTGAGCATAATGACAAGCTAAGACGTTGTCATTAAGGATTTTAAAGAAGCTTCTGATACCACAACACGTGGCTTATGCAGCTGAGACAGGACACAAATCATTCAGTTTCATCCACGTTCATTATTTTCTCTTATTTTTATTAACGAGCTCCAAAGCAACGTTTTCTATGTAAATTCCCCGCAGATGATTTAAAATTATTCTACGAAGTTATCCCTGAAGCCGAAATTCAAATTCCTCGATTCGATTTACATATACTTAAAACCTGATGCACAGTCAATAACCTCGAATCGAATATATCCATGTTCCATGTAACGAGATGACGTTTCTCTCGTCAGCGTCAATAAGGTAACTTCTTGATGAAATTTTTCATATTTTACATATCTACCATATCATTCATACACGTCACTATTTATTTCATTCGCCCCCTAATCTCTCATAATCTTCACAACTCGTTGGTATCCTGTAAATTAGAATATGTGAGAATCCTGTCACGAAAATTCTCGGGATTGTTTAGCAAATTTCTGCTCCCGTCTCCGGAGGAAAGTATTTTCAAGAATGAGGAAGATTTTTCGCCATCTCGAGAATTTCAGTGCACGTTGCGTATTATACACTCGTCTGCGTAAATTAATATACACGCAAAACGTTTCGTTGACTAGGAAAATAAATATTCACGACCCAACATCCAATTTGAAATTTAAAAATGTAAAAGAATACATTATATTTTATAAAAGCAGGGATAACACGAAACGGAAGAAATCCGTTTGTTTTTTTAACGTTTGCGACTAAATAAACATTTAAACGACGCATTGGTAAAGAGATTTCATTTACTATTTCTCATTTTCTCCGAGTAATGCTATTACAAGAATTGTTACTACTTATTTGAAGAAAATGTAGACATAAAATAGTTTTCTGTGTTATCCTCCAAAAATACCAATTGTAATATATTACTCCGGGCGACAAGATTCTCGTTCGAATAAACGAATAAATAAATAAATATTCGGGGTCCCCAAACGGCATGAAATATGTATAAACATCGATACTTTGCATTTACGCGAAAATATATTTGCCATCCGCGGTACGGTGGAATTCCCGACCTGTAAACAGCGTGTCTAAACAATTCGTAAACGATATAAAGTACTTGATGGAAACCAAACTTTAAAATCGTCGATGTAAAATATTTCGAAACAACATTATTCACGCATCGCGGACCGAACGCGAAACAAATCACGAATATTTTCCGCGGCGGTCTCGCGGCTCGAATCCCGCGTGTAACTCTTTTTGAAGCGTCGCGCGACCGATTTTATTTAGGCGTTTGACAGCTTTACGTTCAGGCTTTCTCGTCGCAGCATAGAAATACGCCGCGTTATTTATTCGCCGTGGCGTTTCTTTTTCTTCCGTCCGTGTTATTCCGCCTCTGCTCTTTTATTGTTTTGTTTACGAGCCGATCGAAAGCGAATTTGTCGAAAAACTTTTCCTCGCGGAAACTGTGCGCCCCTCCCCCTTCCCCTCCCATCCGGCAAAACCGCACGAAATTTCGTTCCCGTAAACGTGTTTTGATCCGCAAACTCTCGGATTTAATTAAGCACGTCGAGAGCCCGCTGCCCGCGAAAAAGCAGCGTGCAATTTTAATGCCGCGCGCGCGCGAAACTTTTACAACCGACTTTACGATCTGTTTCCGGGTTCAGCGTCGAGTTGCTTATTTCATTGTTCGCTCCCTTTTCACAGTTGCGAAACCGACGAAAGAGGAATCCGGTATTGCGCCTTTGTTCACCGCGCGATCCCGTGTCAGGTACGTACCGATTCGCGTTAAAAGCAGAAACTCGTGGCGTTTTTTTTACGGATTTTGGGATACAACGAGGAATAACATCGAAGGTAATAGCACGGAGTTGGATCAATGCGTTCGAACCATCGACGTTTGAAAACTGACCGAGAGACAGACGATTCTAAATTTCTTTTTTTTCAATACAGTAGGCTTCCTCTCGACGCGCGCTAAAATTCTCAAAAAGTGTCTTACACAGCATACTTTTCGAGTTATGGACGAGTGAAGAAAATGTTTACTATTCTTTCGTGCAGTTGCATCGTTGCAACAGATTCGAACGCGACAAGAATAATGCAATTGCAACTGTTGGAGGATTATAAATTTCTGGAAAGAAAATAGTTTAAAGTACTAGCAAGAAGAATGCTTGTTTTAATTCAGTGTGCTTATCACGCGCATAATATGATACATCAACTGTGCTCGATGATCGTATACATAATATTTGTAATTCTCCCGCGCAATTAATCGACCATTATTTCCATTATATATCAAATAACTACTCTACCAAATTGTCCGTTACATCATCGTTATAACATCATTGTTTCCACTGTGTAATTTAATTCGCTCGCCAGCTCATTAATTCTGTCCAATAATCCGACAGATTAGTAATGAATGAATGTCAAAATTTCGCCGAGCTACCAAATTAAGCCTGCAAACCGCATGTGTAATTAAGATTCTTAGTAATTACGCACGGTGTCCGATTTTACTACGAATTCCCTGTAAACCACTCGCTACCTAACTTATTTTAAAAAACACACACCAATAGTAAAACGATTGCTACACAAAAACTGTCTTTCGTCGAACTTTCTCAGTTCATTTCAGCTTCTCACTCTCCACACAAATATTCTTCCGTGCACCATGTTTATGCAACATTGACCCGAAACAAGAAGTAATTAAACCTTTAACAACCAGCTAAGTCCACTTTCACTTTCGTTATCGCTGCATATTAAATCCCTCGTCTCAGATAAACGTTGCGTAAATATTGCAAATAAGAACATTCCTATGGAAATCGAGAAGTGCAACGATAGAGATCAGTGTTTTAAAAAATATTTTGCGCCCGTTAATTGCGCCCCGTAATAATCCCAGGTGTTGATTTGTCGATTAAAATCGATGCTCGGATTAATTGGATGGAATAACTACGAGCGAGCCGCTGTAAATTCGCAGCGACGGTATCTTATTATCTATTGCGTCGTTCGTGTACTCGAAACAATAAAAAGGAAAACCGCTGATACGCGTGACTGGGGGGGAAACTCGCGAACCCAGGTAATGGATTCACGGTAACAGCGTTTTTCCAACGCAGGAATGCATCCGTTCGTCCAAAATGTTTCGACGTTGCGTTTCTCGGTGCCTGGTGCCAAGATTTCGCGCAGCATCCCGCCTCTCTGCTAACACTCTTTCTTCTGCCTTCTCCCGCGCGAAACGCGAGTTAAAGGATGGATCCGGGAACGCTGGGCTTTTCAAGACGGATGTGGAAATCCAGTATAAAAAGCCAGCAAAGTCACGGACCTTCCAAGCCGGCGAAGCGCCGGGGCAAACATCCCTGTCTCTTTCTCATTCTCCGGATCTCACCCTCTGTGTGCAAATTCGAACGGCTGAAAACTCGCGTCAGCGCCCACCGTAGCAGCCCCTTTTCACCTCCGCCCGCTCCACTACTCGACGTCTAGCGGACTGAACCGGATGGTTCGCTTTCATAGAGTCGAATCCT